CTTCATCTGTAGCAGGAGTGTTCACCATTTGGTTCCATAAAGTCCCAGCAAGTGCCTGAGATTCTTGGGCGAAGCCATGATGGGTATTCGTCCCATCTCTACTGGGTATGGGTATCCCCCAAACTCTCAAAAAGGCAAAACAAACTGAATGTGGTGGTGCACACCTGTAATCCCAGCACTTAGAAGGCCTGAGGCAGGAGGATTGCCGCAAATTCAAGGCCAGCCTAGGCTATGTAGTGAGTTCAAGGCCAGCCTGGACCATATAAAGAGACCTTGTTTCAAAAAACAAAAAGAAAGAAAAGGAAAAAAATGGAAAGCAGGTGCAGTGTTCCTTCCTGACACCAAACCAAATGTGCTGTTGAATCCAAGCAGTGGTATCCACCGTAATGCAGTCCCCAATGGGCTCAGCCAGAGGAACCATCGTCAACCTCAGCCTGTCCTTCAGCACCCCCTACACACACACACACACACACACACACACACACACACACACACACGCATGTGTGCGTGCACACGCACAGGCTTCCCCTACCCACAGGCACTACTATCTCTACCCGCAGGACCCTCCCTCCAGCTGATCCGCAGATTAGGAAGGCAGAAACGGTAGGGGTGGAGGGCAGTAAAAAGGGCCTGAACCACTAAGCACTGCCCCCATCTCATTTGCATGCTGTTTTCCTGCAATTTGTTCCCCCATTCCTTGTTAAAGGCACCCTGCTTTTAAACCAACCCTGCCCCTCCACACTCCCAGCTCAGATTCCTCCACCCCCACACAGTTTCTCCCTGCTCTCTCTCCCTCCCAGCCCAGCAGCTGAGCACCAGCTTCTTTGTCCCCCAAGCAGCCACCTGCTGAGTGTCTGGCCCTGGTCCCACCAGCCAGCAGGTGCCTAGGGAGTCTTGGGGGAGGGTTCATGCAGTGTAGGGAGCCAAGTTATGCCTCAGGGAGAGGGACACAGTCCCAAAAGAATAGGATGGGCGGCGTGTGTGTGAGGGAGCCAGGATACCAGTGTTTAAATCCAGTCCTGATCTTGCTGGTTGAGTGATCTTGAGTAAATTGTGTTGCCTCACTGTGCCTTAGTTTCCTTGGGAATTCGGGGAGCTGTTTGCTTCCCACCTCTTTCAAGGACAGCATCACAATCAAAGGAAATCAGAGGGTTAGTGGTGGGGGAGAGACCAGGAGTTCAAGCTGAGGTTGTGGGAGAAGGGTGTCCTTCCACAGCCAGAGCTGTCTGACCACAGGAGGGGTAGTCCCTGAAGGCTGGATCAGATAGATGCCCAGCACACAGCTGTTGAGACAGGAGTAAAGGATAACCCTCAGCCTGACCAGATCAGACCAAGAAAGTGAGACTAAAGTTAGGTGTGGTGGCGCACACTGTAATCCCAGCACTCAGGCAGGAGGATTGTTGCAAATTCAAGACCAGCCTGGGCTACAAAGTGAGCTCAAGGCCAGCCTGAACTGCATAGACCCTGTCTCAGAAAGACAAAAAAAAAAAAAAAAAAAAAAAAAAAGGAAAAGAAAAAGAAGAAGATGGTAAGATTAGCAATGCAGAGAGACAAGGATTACATTCTGGATGTTTCTGTGCCCTTCTCCCTGGCACACTGCTCTGATGAGCATTGTCATAGACATCATTTATGTCTGGAAAGGAGGACTGGGATGCGGCCCAGTGGTAGGGGCCCTAGGTTCAATTCTCAGCACTGCAAACAAACAAACATACATCCAGCAAGAATGTAAAACATCTGGACCAGCAGCTGGCAGTCCCCTTCCTATCCTGAGACTATATTGTGGATGGCTGCCGGAGACAGAGGATCAAAGAGTGCCTGGCAGCTCCAGGCAAAGGTGTGAAGAAGAACCCAGCAAGGCACACATAAAAGAGGTCATCCAGACATTTATTTGCCCAGATTCCCTTGTCTCCCTTCTCTTCCTGCCACTCAGTGCCTGTCTTGTGGATGCACCCTACTCCTATCCTGCTGGGTCCAGCCACCCTATGTAGCTGGGTCTATCTGGTGTTCCCGGGGTTCTGGGGAAGAACTCCACATAAGCAAGTAGCTGAGTCTGTGTGCATCTCTACGTGGCTCATCCACTTCTTCTGGGTGTCTGAGCCCTCTCTCTGCATACTGGGACTGGGGCTGGGACATAGGCACAACAGGCTCCCTCTCAGGCTGGTAGCTTCCTGTCCCTGCAGCTCATTCTATTCTTTTTCTCCCCAATCTTGGGCTCCGCTGACCCCTCAAGGAGACTCACAGCTAGAGCTGCTGTTGCTATTTTTAGCAACTCTGTACCCTTCCCCTCCCCCATTCAGGCTTGACAGGGAATGTGGAGGAACAGGCCAAAACTGAGGAGCCTCACCTGTTAGGGTGCTGAGCAAATGAAACCCCTTCCCTCAGCCCCACAGGACCTTGGGCAGGGCGCCTGGGCTAGTCCACAGGTGCAGGGCCTGTCTCAAGGCAGGTTAAGATCCAGCCCCGGGCGGAGGTTTCCAGGCTACACACACACACACACACACACACACACACACACACACACACATGTGCCAACAGAGCCCACACCTCCAGTAAATAGTGACTCCCCCTTAGGCCACTTGAAAGGACAGCTACAGCTCCTAGGTCTCCCTCACAGAAGATGCTAGAGGCAGAGGGACCCAAAGGGAGGCATACCCTGAGCTGACATCCAGGGACTGGCACTGTCCCTGCCCTTCCCAAAAGAGTTCTGAGCTCCTGCTGCAACTCAGCTTTGCCAAAAAGACACCATTAATACTCACTACCATCTATATCCTTCTGAGTTCCATTCCTACACCTACCTTACCTGCTCTGGAAACTGATATGAGCTGGAAGAGAGTAGAACAGAGCAGTTCAAGGAGTCTGAACCCTGGCCTCCCTCATAGGGTGCCTGCCTCTGGGCTCTGGCTGTCTTTGCTGTCAGAGGCCTTTTGTTCCAGCATCTGTCCTGTGGGTCTTGTGGGCTCAGCAGGGCAGGGATGCCTCAGGTCTGCGTCCCAGGCCCAACTAGATCATTCCTTACAGGCCAAGTCAGCTCTCTCACCCTGCTTCTTCATCTGTGGGGTGGGGAGGATGTGTAACTAGTACAGGTGATCAGTAGTCCAGAGCAGGTGCTCAGAAAGGGAGAGTTCTCTGGGTCCTTCCCCCTTACCTGCACCCCCAACATGTGCATGTATACATGTGGACAGAAACACAGGGGGCTGGGGATTTAGGGGGCTGGGGATTTAGCTCAGCGGCATAAGCACCTGCCTTGCAAGCAGGCGGTCGTGAGTTCGATCCCTGGTACCGATAAAAAGTTAAAAAAAAAAAAAAAAAAGAAAAAGAAACATGCTACATGCCCACATGATAGCCATATGTGCACACTCACACACGTATATTCACATTAGCACACTCACACATGTACAAATACATATGAATATTCATACAGGAAGACTCAAGAGTATGCATGCCCACAGATAATGCATGTATGCATGTTCATATTGGCACATATACACACTTGCACAAATACATTCAAACATGCACACGAGTATGCTCACATGGGTATGAATACGTATAACCTAGTCTTCCAGTGCTCAGCAAAAACTGACCAATGGGTGGAGATGAGATGGGCTCCAGTGCACACAACAGAGCACAATCCCCCACCCTGCCAAGGACCCTCCACTTCCATCCCTACTCCCCAGGAGTCTCCACTGGCCCCTAGAGTTGGCTACTGATAATAGAAGAGTCAATACCTCATCCTACCCACCCAAACACTCTTAAGAAGTCAGGAGTCAAGTGTTGTTTGTAAAACCAGAAAGGCCCAGAGAGAGCAGGACAAGCCCAAAGTTGCACGGTTTGTCAGTGGCACAGCTGACACACTGGACGTAAGGTTCATGTGACTTTCCAGCTTTCCAGCTAAGAACAAACATACCTGCAAAGTAGAGAATAGCCAGAGTCTACCTCAGCATTAAGGACCACAGTAGCCCAGATATCTGGGCCCAGCACCTCTCCAACCCCAGCCAAATTCCTCCGATCTATCTCTTCTCTGATGCAGCAGACAAAAAAGCCAGGGAGCAAAGATAACAAAGTCAGGGAGGTGAAGTTGGCCCTCCTGTCTCTTTATCTGACCCAAAGGCCATGAGATCTTGGGACTACCAAGCTGGTTATTCAGCTCAGAAGTGGACACACATGCTGGGAATGAGTTGGCTTTTGAACATCAAAGTGGAACTTGGAAAAGGGCAACAGCCCAGAGATGCTAGTCTGGGGCCCAGACAGATATCTGCTCTGCAACCCTGACACCTTATGGCCCTGTCTTGCTGGGCTTCGTGGCTAGAAGGGACTATCGATCTTTGGTGACTGTGTGGAGCTGAGCAGGGGACAGAGCATGAAGGCGATCACTGTTCCTCCCTACATCAGTCTCTGTCTGGTTCCCTAACTTCACCACTGTGCTGGGCTGACCTGGTTCTAGGGTGAATGCAGTTTCTGCCTCTGCAGCCTTCCTTGTTCTTCTGACATTTCCAAAGTTTGCCATTCAGAGAAATACGCTCTTTGCTGCTGACTTGGCGGTGAGAGGGACTGGCACCAGGGGGAGGGCTGTGACCTGAGCACCTCCATCCTGGGTCCAGAGAGTAGCTCTTCTAGCATAGCAGGCAGGAGTTGTGGTCTGGGGGTACAGATGAACAGAAAGAGCTAATGGATAGAAACCTCTACCATGAGGAAAGGAGACCAGCACCCACCTCCAAGCCTACCTAGACTCCCTCTCTGGCCACTGAAATGGGGGAATCAAAGTGAGATACAGTGGATCAGACTGAAGGAGATGTTGGCAAGGGGACCCCTGCTGTTCCCCCCATTCCTTCCTGCATGCTCCTGGGGGTGGGGCCAATTCTATGACCCCTACTTTCCAGGACTGGCACAGTCTTTCCCTTATACTATACTCCAGGCCCCCAGCATGTGCGACCTGCCTAACCCCAAGAACTGTGGACAGGCAGGGCTAGGGTCCTCTGGGTCCCTAGGGCCAGCAGCCAGACAGGAGAGGGGACAGAAGGCTGCAGGGGAAGGTGCAGAGCGCAGCAGGTGATGCTGTGGCAGAGACCTCATTAATCACCTCTCCAGGCCCCAGCTCTGCAGTGGCAAGACCGTATTAGATTTTAAATTGGAAAGCAGAGAACGTGGCAGTTAGCTGGGAGCTCCCTCTACCCTGGGCCCCTGGGTCCCAGCCTCATAGAAGGGAGGGGACAACAGGGTGAAGAGGGCTGGCTCAGGTACATCCCAGAGCAGTGTCCTACCCCCTCAGAGGCTAAGGAGCTGTCCAGGGCAGATGGGCCTAAGAAGGCTCAGGTTAAGGGTGCAAGAAGAGGACAGAGTGAAAAGAAGGGAGCACGTTAGTTAGTGTGGGAAATACACCCCTTCTTCTGGGAGCTTGGGTGTTACTGAGCTCCAGGTTCCAGAGTATGATCAAGGGCAAATGGTAATGATTTGTAGCCCATGTAGGTACCTCCGTGTATATACACACACATACACACAGACTCATGCCTGTGTCTGCCTGCATTCAGACACATTCTCACACATGCACACCCAAGCAGAAAGCAATGCAGTAGAAATTTTCATCCAAGCTGGTATGGGAGCTCATACTTGTAATCTCAGCCACTTGGGAGGCAGAGGCAGGAAGACTGAAAATCTGAACCAAGTCTGGGCTCAAAATTAAAAATATAAAAGGGCTCGGGCTGTAGTTCAGTGCTCCCTGAGTTCAATTCCCAGTTTGAATTTTTTTAAAGAAAAGAAAAAGAAATTTTGATCACAGGCTGTGGATCACAGACAGACCTGGCTCAGACTTTTTATTTGCCACATTTCCTCTGATTAAACTGGGATGATTCACTTTGCCTCTCAGTCTCAGTTTCCTCCCATGTACTATTAATTCTAAGCAAAGGGCAACCATTCTGTGTAGAAGACAGATCTTGAGGATGGACATGTCTAACCCATAGCTGGCACTCAGTAAATGTAAGTGAACCGCCCAGACAGCTGCTCTGGGACTGCCCCAGGAGCCTTGGCCAGAGGCTGGACCGGATATCCTGCCTTCTGTCACTGATGGGGCCGTGAGGGAGGCACAAGTCCACATAGCACAGGAGGCATTCCCACAGAACAAGCACATGTCCAAAGCCCCATCCTGGGCCAAATCACATGAGGCCAGATCACAAGAGGCCAAATGTTCCTGGCGGTCTTCCACTCATGATGTCCAGGTCTTCCTTACTGGCTCAGCTCGAGCTTCCAAATTACCCATCAAATATCCAACATGGATAACACCTGTGCCCAGTCAGTGCTGGGAGGCAAAGAATCTGAGTGGTGGGAGACACTGACCCGACCCTCCTTGGAGAGTGAGTGGCAGACAGGCTTAGTGTTCCTGAGGTTTTTGTGAAAAATATGAAGAAGTCCTAAGGTTCTTTGTCGCCTCCACCTGCCCAATCCCAGTCCCATTTTCTCAGTCCTAAAAGAAGAGAAGCAGATACCCCATGTTAGTGCTTTTCAAGGACCCCTATCTTAGGCTCTTCCCTCTGAGGGGAAGGGAATACTGTAGGGATGAAAAGGTCAGGTTGTAAGCTATACTTCCTACTGATAATCACTACGCAAACGTGGCTACTTACCTTTCTGACTTTGCTAAATTTACTGACATGATATAGAGTTGAAATTCATTTCTTCATTTGCCACATTCCAAGCAATCTAGAGCCATGCGTGGCTACTATGTTCTTTTGTTTGTTTGTTTGGTTGGTTGGTTGGTTGGTTGGTTGGTTCTGGGGATTAAATGTAGGGCTTTATGCATGCTAGGCAGGCACCCTATCACTGAGCCACACTCCCAATCCCCTAGTTACCATACTGAACACACAAATATAAAAGCATTTTGCTGTCAGGCATGGTGGCACACTCCTGTAATCCCAGCATTTGGGAGGCTGAGGCAGGCCAGTCGTTGCAAGTGTGAAGCTAGCTTGGGCCACAAAGTGAGCCCAAGGCCAACCTGGACTGCGTAGCAAGACCATCTCAAAAAGACAAAAAAAAAAAAAAGCATTTTGCAGGTTAGAGATATAGCAGAGCAGCACAGCATCTGCTTGGCAAGTATGAGGTCTTGAATTTGATTCTCAGTACCAAAATGATAAATAAATAAAAATAAAAACATTTTGCATCATCACAAGAGGTTCTATTGCATACTACTCTAGCATTAGACAACCCAGGGTTGAAGCTGACACATCTCAACTGGTAAACTTGGGAAATGCACTTCCCTTGGCCCCAGTTTCCTCATCTGTAAGATGGGTAATAAAGGTATCTCATTGAGCTCCCATAGTGGAGAGTCAGTTAATCTGATAAAGCATGTTGCCAGACATGTGGGAAATGCTCAGTAAACAGTAGCTTTAAATATTTTTATTCATAGAAACTCTCATGGGTCACTGCATTATGGAATGTAAGAGCAGGCAGGACTTTTAGATACTTTCTCTCATGGAGTCTCAGGCTGGGGAAGTGGTTTTACAGATGAACTTGGCTTATGGGGGCAGAGTAGGAGACAATTTGAGCACCACTCCTTGAATACAGAACAACTGCTACAACATTAGTTAAATTCCATATACTGATATGTACAGAGCTGGCTATGGTATTCCCTTCTCCCTTTCGTTGGCTCTGAGTGATGCAAATAAGGCTAGCTAGGTACTGGTATGGAATCCCAGAGGCCAACCTGACAGTTCCCTGTTTCCTCACATAGCACTCTCTGTAAAAGATTGAAGTACAGCAGGATGGCAGAGCCATTCAGCTCCAGGAATGTCAGCTGGTGGAGCCTCAAATAAGAGGTTATAACTACTCAGGGCACAAAAGATTACATATTGGAAACTGAAGCAATGAGCTCCTAAATTCATTCATATACTATCCCAGTCTAGTTATGCAGACTGGTCTTTCTGTATATCTCCATACATATTACAAAGATGCTTTTCTTCTTACCTGGCTAGCCAGCTCAAGTTACAAACATAGTTCCCACCATCTTTTTTTCTTTTTTTTAAAGGGGATAAAATTAAATACAACAAAACAGAACCAAATAGGACATAAGAAAGCAATGTAGGAGATACAAATTTCAAAGCTAGACGACCTGAGATCTTCACTGTCAATCATATTGTCTCTTGTTTTCTTCCAAATAGTTGTCCATATCTTTACATACAGAGAATTCATACAAAATAACATAGTGTAAAACTGATCCGAACAGAATGAGGAAGGCAATTTAGGTCTTCAAAACCAGACAATAGGGAAGTCACTAATGGCTGTCATAGTGTCTCTCGTTCTCTTCAAATTAGCTATTCATACTTTCATGTATATTGAAGTTCAACAAAACAAAACAGGCAGGGAGAGAGGGGTTGCTTGGTTTCCCAACCCTCCAGGTCCCAGCATGGCTCAGGTCCCAGTAAACATCGGTGGTTCCTGTCCTGGACCACTGGAGCCTACCATGTTCAGAGCAGCTGCGTTGGAGGGGTTGCTTCAAGCTGTTTCTTTCTAATGAATTGACCATTTCACTGCCCAAGTTCTGAAATGGCCAACAGACCATAGAAAGACATCTCTTTAGGCTCCTATTTGAAACCAACAGTGTCAGGAAACTGATGGCCTTGATTTAGGGCCAGAGTTCCCATCATCTTCCCTATCACTCATCCTTGAACCACTCCCTTCTTCACAAGATAATAAATTCGGAGAAATAAATAAATAAATAAGTCTAAATAAATAAATTTGGAGAAAGGCCTTAGATTAAGGCCTTTGTTTGTATATCCTCACTTGAATAGGGTTTATGACCTTTTGGCTGCCCTTAACCTTGACTATGTCTTGGTGTCTTTACTCTCACCTTGGGTTGCATTGGAGATGGTAGATTGGAATTGACTTGTCAGGATTCCAATAGTGTTTCAACAAGATTACAAATGTAACTTTCCAAACTGTGAGGAAGATTATAATACTTGGATTACAATATTTAATACTGGGATTACAATAGGGGAAGGACCTGGATAGGGTGGTCTGACCCCTGGTTGGAGCCCACTGCCTCTACCTGCTCCCCCTGCTTGGCAATAAGACCTGGGGATGGTGAAGCGCAGGTTCACTCATCCTCACTGGGAAGTAGGGCAAGTAGCCACCTCTCACCACTCAAGAGGCAATATGCTCTCTGTCCCTGGAGGTAAGTCTGTCTGTTCCACAGATGTTAAACATTGCAAGGCTCGCTCTTTGGAGCAGTTGGGTCAAGTGCCTTCCCAGTTCCCACACCCTGAGCCCCAGCCCTGCCCTAGGTTGCTATGACCTGGGAAAACGCTCTGGATCCAGTTTCCTCCTGGGGAAGTGAGGGGAATGACATGCCCACATAGGAAAAGGCAAAGACAACAATGGCTCAGGTTCCAATGACCAGCCAACCCCTGGAGCCTAGCCAAAGAGAAGCACCCCCATTCCTATTTGATATCCAGACTGGAGCTGGGCATAGTAATGTATGCCATAATCCAGCACTCAGGAGACAGAGGCAGAGGAAGTGAGTTCAAGGCCAGCCTAGGCTATATAGTCAGACCAGACAAAAATCCAGACTTGACTAAACTACCAGTAGTAGTGAGTAAGTGTGAAAAGCATGGTCACTGATAAGGGCAGAAAGGGTAGTCTAGGGTGGTGGACTTACCAGCTTACTCTGGCAGACCTTTCCTCCTCCTTATCAATTGCCAGTTGGGGCTGTGCTGGGGCACTACCAAGGGTTGGCTGCCCAGCATCTCATTTCAGGTCCTGCCCCTGCCCACCCCTGCTCACCCAGAGCCAAGTGCTTTGGGGAACAGGGTGTCTGCTGAGTGTGAAGAGAGGCAGAACTTGATTTTAGAAACCCATCTGCCCAGAAGCCACACTTCACTGAGCCAAGCACCAGGAGTCGACATTTGTGGGTAGAGATATGAGAAAAGAGATTCTCATCAGGAACTACCGCTCCCCCTACCGTGGTCACATGAAGGTCAGGCAGGAATGGCTCTCCCACAGAGAGTCAGAAGCTGGACCTGAAAGACAAAGGAGACTTTGAAGAGATAAGGAAAAGAAAGTCAGCAAGGGGACGGAACCATGTGAGCAGTTGGGGCGAAGGGGAAAGCACCTGTTCTGGCAGCAAAAAGGTCCCTTGGAGTGTAGCTCTGTATCCACCCCAATAGCTGCCCCTCCAGGACACCAGCCAGACTCCTTCCCCATCACCAGAAGATGCATGGCTCCCTGTATAAATGCCTTAGATAGCCACAGACATCTAGGCTGGTGGGGACATAGGAGGCCCAGGGCTAAAGCCAAAAGCCAGAAGGAGCAGAGAACAGAGCCAAATTATGAGTTCTAGTCTCAGGCTCTGCCACTTGTTAGCTGTGTAACCGACAAGTTACTTAACTATTCTGGGCTCCCTAGTCTTCATTTCTTGGGACACTAACATGGATCTCATAGAAGTGAGATTGAGAAATTATATACAAGGGTGCTGAGCGCATGGTCAGCATACAGTGAACCCAGGGAAGTAGACAGCAGCTGTCACCAGCACCACTTCCTGGTGCTCATTACCAGACTACAAGAGGCAGAATGTGTCCATTTTGGCTCTCCCATAGCTTCTAGGTGGCTTTGAGAAGCCACACTTGAACCCTGACCCTCAGTCTCCCCATTTGTAGCATAGGGGTTAATTGTCTTCCTTGTCAATGCAAGCAGTGAGCAGCAAACTTAGCTCAGATGCTGGACATTGGGAAGAATTATTTCTGTAGCACATAGACTCCAAAGCCTCTAGACCTAGACCTCAGACCTCAGGAGCTTTCTATCGTCCTGCCAGCCTCTAGCTGAGGCTCCTCAGCACAGGACCGGGGCTGGGCCAGGGGGACTGTCAGAATAGAGACCAAACTGTGGCTGGATATGAGGAAGAGGGGCTCCTTTTACCCCTAGGGGCCTCTTTCCTCTCTTGGGCTTTGGGATAATAGGGGTCTGCAGGAGCCAGGACCTCACTAATCCCCTATTAAAACTTGAAAGAGGCCAAGAAACCTCCAGAATAAACTCATTAATTTTTATGGGATAATAAATGGATCCCATTAAATTCTCATTCTCCCAATGCTGGGCCAGCTTAACCCCTGGAACCCAGGGTAGTGGGCCCCCTGCCTTCGGTATCCACTAGGCTTCCCTGTTCCCTCATGCTACCGTCCCTCTCCACCAAGCTGAGTTGGTGCTGCATAAGGCAGGGATCAAGTCTAAACTCATCCCAGAACTCTAGGAGCCCTCCTGTTACCCACCCTGTACCTGCCGCTGAGGGCAAGCTCTAGAAGGGGGACACTGGTTCAGCTGCACCTCTTCAGCTCCTCAGTGGCTACCAGAGTGACAGGCAGCCCTGCCCATACTTACAGAGAAAAGGTGGGGATGGGTTAGCGTGGCTCTGGCAGGTGGGAGCTCTCCCCAACCCAGGGTAGCTTCTCGAGGAGACAGGTCATGTGCCAGTGAAGCACAGATTTGGAGTTGGAATCCTAGGCTTTCCAACTGGCTGGCTGGTAGGAAACACCTGCAGAAGCAATAGCACTGAGACCTAGGAGTCCTGGGGTGGTACTATATTGTCTGGGACATAGACCCAACAGGCATGTCCTAGGTCTCTCTGAGCCTCGATTTATACATCTGTAAAATAGCATAACAAATACCTGGCTGATGGTAGAAGATGCAGCCTTTTGCTTTCCTTAAGCAGAGTCTGGGCTTTCACCCCCTCCTGATCAGAACTACCTAGGATGAGACACAGAGACCTGTCGGTACCCTGACTAAGCTGGGCCCTGGGGAGGAGGGGCCGGGTAGGCAGCCATCCCTAGCAGACCAGTGTGGGGCTGGGGGCGGGGCCTCCAATCCCAAGAGGGGCGACAAGGGAGAGGCGAGGGCTGGGAGGCGGGAGCCGGAGAGAATCCACCGGGGAGGCATCCTGAATGGCTCATTAGTGCCGATGAAAGCCTTTTTTCATTTCCTCTAAATACTTTAAACAGGGCTCCCTCCGATGTCTATTTGCATAGCTTAAGAGCTAATGCGGGGGGAGAGCCAGGGCAGTGGCGGGCCACACCAGGCACCCGGGTTTCAGGGAAGCTCCTGGGCATCCTCCACCTAGATGGGAGGGTGGAGGGAGGGGTGCTAAATAGTGTTTCCCACACCCTGTCCAGAGTTGCTCTGCAGCACCTTTCTGGATAGGCTACCAGTGGGCTGGGCAGGTGGGAATAATGAGAATCTATTTTGTGGAAGAGCTTTGGCCTGCACAGGCATGCAGGGAATTGGTGTTACTGCTTATATGATCAGGGTCATCCTTATTTATAGATGACACACTTCAGGGTCACACACACATGGTCACTCCATAGGGAATTTGTCCCCCAGAGAGGCCAGACCTTTCCTTAGAGACCAGCACCTCCCTATCCTACAGGCCTACTTCCTGGTTGCCCTGACAGGGGCTGCCCTCAGTGGGGCTCTGCCCCAGCCCCTCCCAGGACACTGCTGTTTAGAGCAGTCAGAGGAAGCAAAGGCTCTAAAGATGTGCTAGGCCCAGACTCCTGTGATTTCAAGTGGCAGAGCTGAAACTTAATTCCAGGTCTGTGTGACTTTGGCCTGGGCCTACAGAGCAGTCAGTGTTGGAGCTTTAGTTTGGGTCCCAGGTTCAGATGTGGTTTGGCATGGAATGGAGGTTCCCAGAGTCCCAGCCAAGACATTTCTTTTTTCTTTTTTTCTTTTTTTTTTTTTTTTTTTTTTTTGTCTTTTTCTTTTTTATCAGTACCGGGGATCGAACTCAAGACTGCCTGCTTGCAAGGCAGGCGCTTATGCCACTGAGCTAAATCCCCAGCCCCTCAAGACATTTCTTGAGGGTCTGGTTCAGCCCAGCCTCAACCCAAGTCCACAGGTCAGGAGCTGTCCTGCCAGCTCCACTTCCAATCTGCAGAAACCTTGGCTGAGCCCCTTCTCACCGTAACCACAGTTTCCTCAACTGGCTGGTGTGTTCACTGCTGGCCAGCTCCAGTCTCTTCCTGCCATGAGGCAGCCTGGCCTGGGAAGACTGGGGGCTTTGAAGCTAGATGGACATAGGCTGAGGTCTGCTTCAGCACTGCAAGATTTCGAATATGTTCTCCTCTTACCTCTCCTCCAGGCCCAGGTCCTTTGTAAAGCAGGAATATTTTTATCTCCTAGAGTTGCAGTGTCAATTAAATAATATTAGGTCTGGGAAGAGCCTGACACAGCCGGTGTCTGGTGAGCCTGGGTATCTGGCCCCCAACACCTCCTTCTGCTAGTTCCTGTATCTCTAACTCAGCCAGTCAGAGAGTCGTCCCTGACCTCTTAGTTATGGCCCTGGAAACCTAACAGCCATGTATGTGACAGTGCTCCAGGCCTTTGACAGTCAACCAGGGAATCTGGAGATGCCCTCCCACCAAAGTGGTTTATCACCCAGAGATTATCTTACCTTCTTTGACAATGGGTGGCACCCTTGGAACCAAGTGGCAGCTGATTTTGGAATCAATTTGCTAGCTTGATATGCTATCTCAATCCCATTTAACCAAGTGCTCAGTCCTCCCAGATAACACAATCAGTGCAATCGACAGTGACAGGGAGGTACCCATTAGCTCTGCTCCATTGCCCAGCACCCACCTGGCTGCTGGCAAGAGAGTATGCCTGCCGGCGCTGGTCACTTCCCAAGTCAAAAGATCTCTGCACTTCCCCTCCCCGCAGGGTTCCACAGGTACCCACCCTGGGAGCTGTGGGCTGTCTCCCTTATTGGACAGTCCTAGAAAAGGATCCATAAGCCATGTACAGCTCCAGGGGCTCCAGTCTTTGCGATAAGAAAGTCTCTTCTTCTTGTGCCATACTTAAATCAGCTCGGCTCACCTGGCAGACTGAGTGACATCTGGGGGTTAGGCAAAGAGAATACCCTTGTCCTGGCATATCATAGGTACCGCCTGGCTCCTCCATCACTGATGGAAGACACTGGGAGGTCTCAGACCATCTGCTCTGGGGGGTACGAGCCTGGCCAGGCATCTAGTTTGGATATCAGAGCCTGGCACGAATGTCAGGGCACAGATGGGATACTTTAGTGAACATTTCAGGAGATAACAACTAGTCCTGGTTTCTCAAGGCTTTGGGTTGCCCAGGCCTCCCTGATCCAGGGGAATGGAGAATACTCCAGCCTGTGCCCACCCCCCCCAACCCCAATTTCCCTCCTCCCATTTGTCTGACACATCATAGCTGCTCTGGTCTCCTGAACAGAATGTAGGCCATCTGGCACTTCCTCACGCCTGCCAATCCACGGGGTGGGTGTGAGCTTGCAGAATGACAGCCCCACCACCAGACTTGCAAGAAGACCGACCTTCTCCTTGCAAACTATGTTATCTCACCCTGACTATACTTCCTTTCTAGTCCTGAAGCAGCCATTTTGAGGACTGTAGGAATCGGGAATATTCTCCCAGCCTTCTCAGAGTTGGTAAAATTCTAGATGAACTGAATTTGGCATCCGTTGACCTTATCATGGCAGTTTAAGGACTTAGGGAACCTAGTGGGCCACAAGCAGAATAGGTATTATCTCTCTAGTTATATAGTTGAATAAGTCAACATAACAACACAAGAGCAGACTGTGCCTCTGACCAAAGATAGCAAATAAGCTTCTTCTTAGGCTAAGTGATGGGTAGTAGCTACCTGGATAACCATTTTGAGGAGGATTCTGAAGTCCCATGTGACCTCAGTAAGAAATAACCAAAACTGATCAGCAGTGTCTACCATGAAGGGGAGCGGGCAGCATGCCAGATGTCCCTTCTAGTCCTGTTTCAGACACTGTCCTAGAAGGACCTGGATTAGCATCATAAGAAAGATAAAAAGGAATTCAAGGAGACAGAATGAATGGAGAAGAGAAGTAGCATTATCTTGGTCAGTCATAAAAAAGAAATCCCATATTACAGATGGGAAAGTTAAGGCTTGGGGAGTTTATGCTACTTGCTTGAGGACACAGAATGATGGATTTGGGAGCTGAAGCCTCATCAGCCCAGCTCTAGAACTTGGCTCTCATCGCTCTTGCCACTTTACTGTTCTGGAAGGACCATCAAATCAGGAGGAAATAAGAAATGACTTTCTGTGAAGGAAGAGAAATGGGATCTCATACTAGGTGTGGAGGTGCACACCTGTAATCCCAGCACTCAGGAGGTTGAGGCAGGAGGATCACCACAAGTTTAAGGCTAGCCTGGACTATATAGCAAGACCTCCTAAAGCAAAAAAGAAAGAAAGAAAAAGAGGAATGGGATCTCTTGTGATCCTAATAAAAAAAGTTATACATCCATGAGGAAATCTAAAATAAAAGCTCAGCTGGATGTGGTAGCATTTACCTAGTAATAAATTTTAGCTTAATCAATATATTTTGATTTGTTATTGTTGAGGTTCTGAGGATTGAACCCAGGGCCTACCCATTGAGCCACATAGCCAGCCCTTTAAAAAAATTTAGGGATCAGAGAGGGTCTTGCTAAATTGTCCAGCTGGGCTCTAATTTGCAATCCTCTTGCCTCAGCCTCTTAGAATGTCTAGATTACAAGCATAAGGTTGGAATTACTGAAGGCTGGTAGGAAAATTCATCTTTGCTTTTTAGAAATCTAAAAGGAAACTGGATAGGATGGTACAGAACTGTTATCCCAGTACTCAGGAGACTGAGGCTGGAGGATCACAAGCTTGAGGCCAATCTGGGCTACACAGCAAATGCCAGCCCAGACTGGACTACACAGCAAAACACCGTCTCTAAATAAAAAATAAACTTTAAAAAGTTGGGAGGGTTGGGGGTATAACTCTGTGTGAAGGTCCTGAATTCTACCCAAAGTGACATTTTAAAAAAGATAAAGTTTAAAATATGTGAAATACCTCCTAAGACTAATGACTTGCAATTGCACTGAGAGCAGGAAATAAATTTGAATTCTGCCCACAATGTCAGGCAGGAAAATCACTGTTGTGAATGATAGCAGCTACATGTAACTCTTTTTATTTCTTTTCTTTTCTTTTTTAATGGTGAGACAGGTCTCACTAAGTCACTATATTGCTCAGGTTAGACTCTAATTTGTGATCTTCCTACCTCAGCTTCCCAGAGTGCTGGAATTACAGGCATGCACTACTGCACCTAACACATAGAAGTCTTACTGAGGTTGCCATTTTTGGTCTTCAGCAGGTCGTGTAACTTTGAGCAAGTCACTTCCTTTTTCTGGCCTATCTCCTCATTAGTAAAATAAGCCCCTTGGCTGCATTGAGGATGGCAAATATTTGTCATGTCATGGCTGCCTGGAGTGCTTTGTTGAAGATTCTGAAACTGAATCTGAGAACAGCAGGAAACACTGCAATGATCGATTAATAATGTCTGTCTCTGGTGCTAGAGGAGAAAGAATAGCTCATGTGCCATCCTTGAAGTATGTGATATCATCTCAATTCTAGCTCTAAAATTTTATAGCTCCATGATTCTCAACAATGAGCGCACTCCCTAAGGCTCTCCATCAAAATGTAGATAGATTTCCTACTGCCTTAGCTGGGCGGGATGCTGCTCACTATGGGATAGCAGAACATCTGATTCTCCATTGTTATTTCAGGACTCTCCTCAGAAGCTCCAACCATGGGGGAAGGACAAGCCACAGGCATCAAGGAGACAGATGGGGAGCTGACAGTGGCTCCTACCCCTGAGCAGCCAGAGCGAGGTGTCCACTTCGTCACAACAGCCCCCACCCTGAAGCTACTCAACCATCATCCACTGCTGGAGGAATTCCTTCAAGAGGGGCTGGAGACAGGAGAGGAGGGGCTGAGACCAGCACTACCCTTTCAACCTGACCCACCTACACCCTTCACCCCAAGCCCCCTCCCCCGCTTGACCAACCAGGACAGCCGCCCTGTCTTTACCAGCCCCACTCCTGCCATGGCCGAAGAACCCACCCAGCCCCAGTCCAGGGAGGGACGTTGGAGCGTAGGGTCAGAGCTCCCTGTGCTTCATATCACAGCCCCCCTACCTCCAGGGCCCAGCCTTGCAGTGCCCACCCTATATCCAGGGGAGAGACCTAGTACTACACCCCCCAGCAGAGCCTGGACTCCAACCCAAGAGGGTCCCGGAGATATGGGCAGGCCATGGGCTCCAGAGGCCCTGTCCCAGACCACAGGGCTCGGGATGGAGGGCACCATCGTCACCTCCACAGCTTCCGGAGATGATGAGGAGACCACGACCACCACCACCATCATTACCACTACCATCACCACAGTTCAGCCACCAGGTTAGCTTCCTGCTGGCTTGTGGATCTGGAAGTGGGGCAGTGGGAGCTGCGGGATCCCTATGTGCCCGTCTCTGACACTGTACCAACTTGCCTTCTTTTAGGCACCAAGAAAAGCCTTCAGGAGGCAGGTGGTTTGTGACTAGATAGACCTGGGTTCAAATCCTGTTTCTCCCAAATATAACACAACCCTAGAAATTTTATTTAACTTCTCTCAGCCTCAACAGTAAGGTGGTGAAAAGAAAGCCCATTTTCTGAGCCTTCTGAGAACTGAGATAGGATTGTACACAGTAGGTGCCCAACAAAAGGTGTCCCTTCTTTCAACAGGGAAATAACAAAGTGGGCTTCACCACTCACACACACACACATGCACACACACGGTTTAGGCTTGGCTGGTCTTGTGTCACCAGAACAGGGCTTAGCCTTGTGTTTCTTCCTGCCTCCCAGGCCCTTGTAGTTGGAATTTCTCTGGCCCCGAGGGCTTTCTGGACTCCCCCCAAGCCTACAGCTCACCCTCTGACGTTGGCCTGGACTGTTTCTACTACATCTCTGTCTACCCTGGCTACGGTGTGGAGATCAAGGTGAGTAACCTGCATCCGGGACTGATATGACATCTTTTCCCAGAAAGGAAGGCATCTGCTGTAGAAGAGAGGATGTGTAAGGGCATCAACTGAGTGAGCACACCTATGGCCAGGGCTGGGACATGGGCCTAAAACATGCTTGGATCCTGTGCTGAGCACTGGGAAAAGGAGAGGCCTACTGCTCCCACCTGGCAATGCCCTGAGAGGGCTGCAAGAGGAGAAGCTGAGTCTACCCTCTGCCCCCACGGGACTGATCAGGGGCTCAGAAGAGCCTGAGGAGGGGACTCTCGATTTGGCTAGGCAGGAGGCTGGGTAAATCACCTGAGTCCCAGTGCAAACTCTGTGTCTGATTCTGCAGCTGAGTGGAGAAAACACAGGGCTACCTGGTTGGGCCTGAGAGGGCCATGGAGCCTCATTCCTCCATGATTCAGTCATCCTTTCCTTCAGCAAGTTCTCCCTGAGTGTCTCTTCTGGGCCAAGCTCTGTGCTGGCCACACTGTCAGAGAGATGGCTGCTTGCCGGTGAGCCAGGTCTGCCTCTAGCCCCCTGGACCATCTTATCCCTCCCTTGGGAGTAAGGCTGTCTCTTGGAAGCCACAGGCCTGAGCCTAAGGTTCTCACAGGTGTCTCACAGGCTTCTCAGCCCTCACTAACCCAAATCTTCCTTTTGTTTCCCGAAACCTGCTGGTCATTCCATTCTGTCCAGGTCAGAAACTTGGAGTAGACCTACCACATTGAGATGGGCATGGCGTCCCTGGAGCTGGGCAGCATAGGGTCACCTTGACCCTTCCTTCTCTCTCTTTTCACAGTCCCATCCACTCATCCCCAAGGTCTGTCACCATGACACTCCTCAACTCTCCCATTCACCTACTTCTCTCCCTCTGTCCCCTCAACCACCATGTGATCCAGCCCCCAATCTTCCTTCTCCAATAATGCAATGGCCACCTCATTGGTCATCCACCCACATGTGCTCCCTCTTATCCCTCTTCACTCATGCTGGAATCATTTTTCCCAGATGAAATCACTCCTGCACCCCCATACTTCCCCAGAGGCTCTGAGACAGGGACATTCCTCTGGGCACATCTCTGGCCATTTCTTCCCTTGCTGTGACTTCCCTCTGTGTTAGTCAGCTTTTTGTCTCTGTGACCAAATACCTTAGGAAGACAGTTTAAAGGAGGAAAGATTTATTTTGGCTCATGATCTCAGAGGTTTCAGCTTATGGTTAACTGGCTGCATGACTTTTAGGTCTGCAGTAAGGCAGAAACATAATAGCAGAGAGCATGGTGAAGTAAGGCTGCTCACTTCATGTCAGCCAGGAAGCAGAGAGAGAAGGAAAGAACCAGAGAGAAAATACAGCCCCCAGAGCCATTCCCCCAGGACCCGCTCCCTTCACCAAGGCCCCACCTCATGTTCCCATCACCCCCCAACAATATCATCAAATTATGAATCCATCATAATGAATCCACTCCTGAGGGTAGGGTCCTTATGATCCAGTCACTCCTCTAGATCTGATCTCTGAACATCGCTACAATGGGGATCAATCCCTCAATAGATAAGTCTTCGGGAGACACTTAACATTTATTTATTTATTTATTGGTACTATGAATCGAACTCAGGACCTTGTGCTTGCCAGACAGGTGCTTGTGCCATTGAGCTACACTGGGCCTGAGACACTTAAACCTTAACATCCCCTTTGCACAGAACAGCTTTCAGCTAACCAAATGGGCCAAACGTTCTTTCCCCTCAAGTCTCAATTACACACTCTGGTCCCTCTGCCTGGAAGAGTCATCTTAACACCACCTGCTTTAGGACTCAACCTCAGCGTCCGCCTCTCTGGTCATTCTCTCCTGATCCCTAAAACCTGGGCCATCACCCTCCATCTTGGCCTTCATCATTGCCTTCTGTGGGATCTGTCTTTAACCATCCACTTCCCCAGTCAGATCATGAGCTCCTTGAGGGGAGCCTTGCAATACAGGGGCCAAGATATATGGAGTAAGGAAAGCAGAAGAGGACATTTGATTGGGCCCTGAAGACTCATACAGGTGGAGAAGGGAGCATCCTGCCCAGCTGAAAGACCTCGAAGGGGGATTTCAGCAAGGGGTTGTAGGGAGGAGCAGAGCAGGAGTCTGAGAAGCAGGGCAAATTGCCCATCTTCCACCTCCCACCCCACTTCCCCACCCATCACCGCTTCCTGCAGGCCCTGGATCAGGGCATGAAGCCAGCAGCATGACCCCAGGCAGTGCCTCCAGCCATCCACCCCTCATGGGAGTCAGGGCCAGATGTGATCCAGGCCCTGGAACGCATCTTTTCTACCCCTGCTGGGTTCCTCCTTTCTTTTTTCAACTGTTTGCTGAGATTTTGAAAACCCTGGGCCCCTCACTCTGGGCCGACCAGAAGGGCAATTAGAAACAGCCACCCCCCTCTCAAGCCATTAGCACTCAGCGCCGCTTAATTAAGGTAATTAATGTAAAATCATCACCTAATGAGAGGTGGCACCGGCTGCGGCTCACAGGGCGGAAGGCGCCAGCTGCAGGTGTAGAAAAGGGGGTAAAAGGGGCCAGATGCCAGGCTGGGTGCCCCCCTGGGCTGGCTCACCTGCCCACCAAGCATACCACTCTCAGTGAAGTCCACTTGGCCTTACTGAGGCCAGCCCTGAGGCTGCCCACCAGATAATGGGGCAAAATGCCATGTTAGCTCTGCCTGCCCCTGTCCTGGTCCAGCCCATGCCGCACCCTGGATGCCCAGCCCTTTACACAGGCCTAGGTCTGGTGCTGCTACATTTATTTTTCCATCAGAATGCAGAGAGCTGTTACCAGGCAACCTTGAGGTGAAGGCTTGTCACAGGCCTAGATCGAAGTCAGGAAACAAGGCACAGATTGGCCCCATCTTCCACCTCGCCACCATGGGGGCAGAAGTTTCCAATGGTCTGAGATAGAGCCTGAGGCCATGCTGAACATGGGGTTGCCAAAACTGGGTCAGCACCTGATTTAGAGGCAGAGCAAAAGGTAGAGAGGCAGACTGAGCAGGATTTAGGGTTCTCCCAGGAGCAGTTCTGGAAACCTCCACCCAACTCAGTCCTCTTGCCCACACTACGCCAGCCACCTGGGACCTGAAGCAGAACTGACACAGCAAACCTACTAGACAGTGAAAAAAACTGAGGCCCAGGCAAGGAAAGAGAATTACCTAAACTCACTCAACTCTGTTTTGCTTTGCTTTGTTTTGTTTTGTTTGAGACAGGGCCGTCTTGAATTTACTATGTAGCCCAGGCTGGCCTTGAGCTCAGAGTGACCATTCTGCCTCAGCCTCCTGAGTGCTGGAATTATACATACGTGCCTCCATGCCCAGCTTCAGTCAGCTCATTATTAAATAAGGGGTTTTGAGGCATGGGTTTGTTTTAAAATTAGAAACTGAGCACCTATATGCCAGGCTCTGTACTGGACACTGGGGCCATAGATCTTCATGACCACAGGATACTCAGTGCTGATGGCGAGAGAGGCCATGGGGGCTGTGAGAATTTGGGAGCAGAGGACCCCAACAGCCTGAGAGTTAGAGATTTCTCTCAGACATGGGCTCTGAGGCCTATAGGCCAAGAAACCAACTGCTCAACCTGGGCTGCAGAGGAGCAGGGTGGCTGGCCTGGCCCTTAGAGGCTCCCTGTCTGTTTTGGAAAAGTGAATTTTTTGTATAGGGGTAGAGGACGAGGGTAACAGATTAGCTTGACACCCTTGCCAGAGACTTGGCTTTGGAACAGTGTCCTCCTGCCCAGGCTGGAAGCTGAGCCAAGCCATACTGAGGACAGGGTAGGTAAGCTGAAAGGCCTACAGTGCTGTCCACAGCATCTCGGGGTTGGGGAGAAGGGCCAGCCATGGCTTCTCTCTACCATCAGTCTCTCTCCTCCCTGAGTTCCCCCAAACCGAACCATTGGAGCAGATAGAGGATGCAGTCAGAGAAAAGAACGCTGTCCACACCCTTGAGCAGGTCAGTCAAATGCCAGGCTGAGCCTCTGTCACATGACTGCAGTCACTGCTTAGATTAAGAAGGTTCTGGGGGGAAATCTTCTCAATATCCTTCATTGAGAAGCAGCCTCAGGGCCATCAGAATCCCTAAAAGCCCAGCTCTGCCTACCTTGGACCACCACCCTCCAGAACCTGCTCCCACCTCTGCTTCCCACCTCCCTTCATGGTGCTGCAACTATCTGTGCCCTCTCAGGCTGAGGGTCCAAGCCAGCAGCAGGAGGAGGCCAGGTCAGGCCCTCCATGGCTCAAGGAGGCAGAATTGCATCATCGGGGGGTCAAACAGTGGGCTAGAGTCTTTTTCAAAATGTCCAGCATAGGGCCAGGGATATGGCTCAGCAGTGCAGTGCTCGCCTGGCAAGTGCAAGGTCCTGAGTTTGATTTCTGGTACTGCAAAATATTAATAACAATAATAAATAAATAGTCCAGAGAAGACCCTTCAGGATAGTTAAATATAAGCCCCGTGTCCCACACAGGTCCCATCCCCTCTCCAGGCAACCAATCTCCTGGTGAGAGCTCCAGGGCTTTTTGGGCCAAGTGCCTGCCTCTCGCTGCACTTGGCATTCCAAGAGCCTTCCCACTGCCAGCCTCCATCTTGGCTTGGCTGCTTTCTGCACCATCTGGAGCCTGGGCACAGCTGCCCACAGTCCTGCCCTCATACCCAGGTGGCCCCTTTGGCACACAGCTCTCTCAGGCCAGCCAGCTGTCAGTCTGATAGCCAGAACACCCTGCCTTTCTAAACCAGGTCAGGACCAGGCCTCACGGCCTGATGCAAAGCAGGGGTGGGAGTGGAGTTTGGGCTGGGCTGGAATTCTGAGAAACTTCCTATTCAGGCTCTAGGAAAGTCTGTCTGAAGTGGTGATAAGTGCTAGGAGGTGTGGGCCCGTGAATTTAAGCCCCTCCTTTATCCCTAAAACAGACCTTATGTGCCAGGTATTCTGAACAAACTCCTGTTCATCAGGGTACAGGGGCTGTCATGTCAGATTTGGTCTAGTGCTGGCTCTGTAGCAGCCTCTCAGAGCAGAGATAAGCCCTGGCCTTCTCTGGACCTGGCTTCCTTCTCTATGAAATGAGATTAAACCGAATGCTGTTCATGGCCCCTCCCATCCAGTCTCTCAGTGTGGCTCCTTCTCTGGGCTCAGGCTCTTCGTAAGCTCCACTGCACAGTGGCACCTCGGATCCTTGGCCCTGCTTCCTGGCAGTTGCCAATCCTGGGCCTCTGCCACAGTATACACATGGGACTGGTAATGGAGGCAAGTAGTGCTATGGCCAACATCCAGGGGTGGCACTCAGGTGCAGGGTGGATATGACACGCGGAGACACCCTTAAATTCCTCTGTGCAGGGTTGTACTAATTCAAATTCGTGCACTGTCCTGCTTGCTTGTCTCATCACTGGGACCTGTGCTAGAGGCCTGACTGGCAGCTTCCCTGGGACTGACAGGTGAGGGAAGGCTGACAACTTGGGGCTTGGCAGGAGACAACCAGAACCCTCCCCTCTTCCCATCCAGAAGGAGCCAGTCCCCTCAAAGCAGCTGTGTCTTCTTGAACGGCCCCCCTGGTGTGCTGGGAGCAAGGCAGTGTTGGACCATAGAGGGTCCTATCAGAATTGTCCCTAGCTCTCTCTACTTCTACCTTCCTCCTGCCTGGCCCCCAGAACTCCTCCTGTCACTGGAAGGGCTAGGGGAAGACAGCCCTCAAGAACAGAGGTGACATTTCAATCTGCCTCCCAGGTTCTTCAGATGCCTGCAAATTGCATCAAGTCTTCATCTTTGCCCCTGTCCAACACCCAGCCCTGTCTGGCCCCTTTCAGCCCTCAAAGAAATGATAAATTACATTCCAGCCACTGCAGCAGGTCCAGGCGTGGGTGCTTGAAACCCAGGGGACCAGGGCTGCACAGGCAGTGTCCAGCAGAGAACAGGGAATGTCTCCTCTCCTCACCTTCATCCCAATCCTTACCACCATGCTGGGCTGGGAGCCAGGCCAATTTAAGGGCCCATCCTTCCCCCAGTCCAGAAGGGGCCAGAGATTTCAACTCCCAGTTTACAAGCTGCTAGGAGAGAGGATGGCTGGTTGGCACCCAAATCCCAACATCCTGAAAAGCCAAGTCAAGCCAGGCTAGCACCTGCCTCCCTGCTAAACCTGGAAGCCTAGACATTGGAAATAAAGATATCTAGATATGTATTTCTGCAGGTAACGCCCCCTGGAAACTGGTTCTTAATAGAGCAGCAAAATTGCTTCTTAATAGCTCTATGGCAATTCGGCAAGTTCCTTAGCCTCTCGGTGCTTCTGTTTATTTATGAGGATTTTACCACCTACCTCATAGAAAAGACTGACATATTTTAGGTCCCTGTAAACTGTTATTGCTGCTGCTGCCCTCTGATCATGACAGAGCAGTAAGATCAGGAGTAGGAAGCCACAGGTCAAACCGGAAGAAGAGGAGAAAGTAGGCAAAAAATACTAACTTAGGGCCGAGGATTTAGCTCAGCAGCATAAGCGCCTGCCTTGCAAGTGCGAGGTCATGAGTTCAATCCCTGGTACCAAAAAAAAGACAAAAACAACAAAAAAAACTAACTTAATTTCTACTTCTCTGCCTTTGCTCTAGAGGTAATTTCCCTATAGCAAATGAATGTCCTCCCTTCCTCCTCCTCCCCCCAGCCCTCCCTTCCTCCTCCTCCCCCCAGCCCTCCCTTCCTCCTCCTCCCCCCAGCCCTCCCTTCCTCAAGGCCTCTGAGACCCACCTGGTCCACGTATTCCCTGGGCTTCCAAGCCCTCCGCTCTTCCCTCGAGGATTCCTGCTGCATGCATTCAATGCCACTTAAGGCAGAATTATATGCTGCCTGGCATCTCTCGATAATTACAGATTCCACGTGTGTGTGTCTTGTTTTCCCAATTCTAGAATCACAGAATCTCCATGTTTGAAGGGACCTCATCCAGCCTCCGCCTGCTGCAGGGATTCCCTGAGGAATGTCTCCAGCAGATGGTCAGGCAGCCTCCACCCAAATGTGCCTGGGCTGGGAGCTCCTCCCAAAAAGGAGGTGCTTCTGCCCCTAGCACCCCACCCCACCTTAAAATATCTCTTCAACCCCCAGGACTTACCAGGTCTTTCCTTCTAAGCAGGGGTGGGATCTCCCCACCAAGCCGCCCCATCTGGAGTCTGTTCCCAAGCGGGGCCTTGAGTCTCGTGTCACCAACTCGGCATCCTGTTCTTCTTAGTTTGCAGGGACCCAGTGAGGAATGTGTCTCCTGAAGTCCACATTGTTGGGCATATGGCACATGCCTGTAATCGCAGCACTTGGGAGGCTGAGGCAGGAGGATTGCTGTGAGTTTGAGGCCAGCCTGAGCTACACACTGAGTTCAAGACCAGCCTGAGTTTATGGCATGACCCTGTCTCAAAACAAAAGCAAAAAAAAACCCACAAGAAGCCCCCATATTCACTCTCTTCAGACATCTTTACTAAGACTGGCCGGTAAAGAGGGTGACTCAAAATGTGACTCAAAATGCCACCCAGGGGGCTGGGGATTTAGCTCAGCGGCATAAGCACCTGCCTTGTAAGCAGGCGGTCGTGAGTTCAATCCCCGGTACCGATAAAAATGAAAAAGACAAAAAAAAAAAAAAATGCCACCCAGATTTTAATAAGAGAATGAATAGGAGAACCTGATGGGGAAGGACCGACTGGCCTAGCCTGGGCTGCAAAGAGTGGTAGTCCTGAGATCTGACAGGATGTTAAGTTTCACCAGGAGTGGGAAAAGGGAAGGCTTCCTTGTACAAGTGTTCAGGAGGGAAGGAAGAGGACTGGCAAAGCTACTGGAACCAACTGTGAGCTGGGAAGCTGGAACGGTGTCCTCTGACAATCTGAAGCCATCAGCAAAGTAGAAAGAGATGCGAAAGAGACATAATCTGATCCAAGGCAACCAGGACAGGAGATGGGTTGAAGAGAGGAGGGGTGGGCCGTGGATAGAGGTCATGGCAGGTGAAGAACAATGGACAAGAGGTGATCAGAACCAAGAAAGCAACAAAGGGCTAAGGAGGAAGAACCACTTGCAACAAAGATTGGGAAGGATTTCGCAACTCACTGGATGCCCAGGTTGTTAGCACTTGAAGCCTCTGCCTCAAAGCAAAATGGTAGGGACCCTAGACCAGGGAGACCCTAAACCATGCTTTGGACTGCACGGGTATCTTATTAAAATCTTGAATATGACTTAGTAAGAGTGAGATGTGGTCTGAGATTTTTCACTTCTTTTCCTTTTTTTTTTTTTTTCCCTTCTTCTGTACTACTGAGGACCCATCTCAGGCCCTCATGCATGGTAAGCAAGTGCTCTGCCCCTGAGCTCAGCCATAGCCCTGAGATTCTGCATCTCTTACAAGCTCTGAAATGATGCTGATGTTGCTGGTCCAGGAGCCAGATTTAGAGTAGCAAAGATCTACACAAGGCCATTTTATAAAACGAGGAAACAAGCTCAAATAATCAGCATATTTGTTCAGGAACACATGGCGAGGATGAGCTCCCAGATCTTTAGGTTCCTAATCTAATGCTCCTACCAAGCTACAGTGTCAGTTTCTGGGTAGTGTCTGTCATTGTTCAGTCCTTGTTTGACAGAATGGAAGCAAGGTGCCCAGAAGGATGCTTTAGGCATTGAGGTAGCTGAGGGACTTATGACAGCCAGAAGAAAGAATTGGATCAAGAAACTCAGAGAAGAGAGGAAATAGAACCAATGGCTAACTGGTGGAGGGAATGGTATAACGCTCAGATGAGCCGCCAGCAAAGGCCAGGCAGGCATGGCCTAGAGGCCCAGACAAGGAATTTGGATTCGTACTACAGACTTCATGGACTCAATAGAGAAACATTAGGGGATCTAACCAAGGAACACTGTGATAAGACACAGGTCCGGGACTATTAACTGGCTGCAGTTCAGAAAATATTAATGGGAAGGGAGGAGTAGGTTAAACCCTGTAGGCAGGGAAGCTGACCAGGAGCCTGCTACAGTGCTCTAGGTGATTTGATGTCTGCTTGAAAGACTTAATGACTTGACTGGGTGTGAGCTGTGAGGGAAGAGGCAAGATGCCAGTCTGTGACTTAGTACCCAGGTTGTTAGGAGATCATGCCCTGAGATAAGAGCCAGGGGGGCTGCTGGCTGGGAAACAGAGTGGCTCAGCATGAGACAAACTGAGTATGAGGCCCTTTCGAGGCGCCCAACAGGGATGTCTAGGGGAAACTGGGCACATAGGTCTGATGCTTAGGACCTCACATTGTTGGTCAGGCCCTCAGACACTATCTAGCCTACTAAATCTAACCCATCCCTACTTTACAGATGAGAAAACTGAACTGCAGTGGGCACAGGGATGAAGGGACCATGGGAAGCAGTTAGTGTATTTGAAACGCTTGGGAGACAGAGATGTCCTTGAAAGTCAGTTCTCTGGGTGACACTGAGTAGTTTACTGAATACTTCTGAACTTCAGGTTCCATCGTGCATTAATGAGAAGGTAGGGTGAGCTCCTTCTGCAGGAGATGCCTAACTCTGACACTCAAGGAGCACTGAGGATTGGGTACGTGGGGCATGTAGGAGCCAGAGGGCATCATAGCTCAGGCAGCAGGAAGTCTGAGTGCTCTGCTTTTTTTAATCCATCTGCAGGTCCAGAACATCAGCCTCCGGGAGGGAGAGATGGTAACTGTGGAGGGCCTTGGGGGGCCCGATCCCCTGCCCCTGGCCAACCAGTCTTTCCTTCTCCGAGGCCAAGTCATCCGAAGCCCCACGCACCAAGCAGCCCTAAGGTTCCAGAGCCTTCCACCACCTGCTGGGCCTGGCACCTTCCATTTCCACTACCAAGGTAAGGCCTGGGCCACTGACTTCCTTCCTGGGGGAGTCTCTGGTGATAATCTGTGGGCTGGAGCAGAGGACAGGGAGGGGCAGGTAGCACAGCAGATGTGCCCAGTGTATATCTATGCCCATGGAGCTGAGTGTCATTCACTGGACATGTTAAGGACCTTCCCATCTCTACACACCACCCTGCAGAGCAGATTTTGACTGTGGATTAGGTTCCGCCCCCACAAGTATACTCACTGTCCTGCATTCATTCCGTAAACAACTGCTGCTTGCCCCATTTATGCTGAACCTCATCAATCTCATGATGTACCCATCAAGATCTTTGCCCTCAAGCTCAGAATATCAGGCAAAGACATTTAAACAGGGAATAACAATAGAAGCCTCTCTTCAAAGGCAAGGGGATGGGGATGGAGGCCAAAGAGGCTTGACAGTGACCATCTGGAGGTGTTTAACTGCCAGTCTGCCTTCCTCACCTACCCAGGACCTGGTGCATGCTCCAGTCAGCTCAGAACACCTGTGGAAAGAGGGGTGTGGTGTAACCACGTGGGAAATCACAGACTCAGGAGATGGGCAGATCTGTGTTGGAATCTCCTCACAAACTGTTGACCTTAAATAGGTCATTCGACCTCCCTGATTCTCCTTTTCTTGCTCAAAGATGAGACCAGAGAATCTATCAAAAAAAATCATGGCTAGGATTAAATAAAATGGTGTGTGTCAAGTGCTTAACAAATGTTGCATTAAAGAACTTGTTTTAGCTGGGCGTGGTGGCGCATGCCTGTAATCCCAGCACTGGGAGGCTGAGGCAGGAAGATTGTTATGAGTTCAAGGCCAGCCTGGGCTACACAGTGAGTTCAACACCAGTCTGAATTACATGGTGAGATCCTGCCTCAAATAAATAAATAAATAAAGGAAAATAAAGAAATTAGTGTTAATATGGCTTGAAGAATGGGAAAGGGAAGAAAGTGGGTTTGGGACTTTCCTGCTTCTCAACTGGTACCCTTTCCTACACATCCCTTCCCTGGGTACATTGTCAGCTTGATCTTTTGTACACTTTAATCAGTTCAGAACTGAGAGCACTAATGGGGAAATAATTGATGTGAGCAATCATGGGATTGTCTTGCGTTGTCAGGGACCACTTCTGCAGCCCTGTAGGGGGGAAAGAAGCCCCCAGCAGGCAAGCACTCTAGCTGGTATGCTCTGAACCCCACCTAAGGAGCATTCCTTGGCCCAGTCTGGCTTCCCCACCCAAACTGGGGAAGAAGTCCCGGCATGGCAGCAGGGAGCCTGGCGGTGGACATGCATTGTACAGTGGCTCAGCAGAGGCAAGGGGCCAGCTGAGACAGGGGTTAGCATCAAGGCGTCCCAGCCGGCCTCCCTAATGGCTCATCAATCCTCTCTGGCAGCCGGCATAATTTCACGCCACAGTAACCTTTTCTCTTGCTGCAAATTCCTTTGCACAAAACTCTGGACCCCCTCTCTCTGTTGGGTCAGACAAAGGTGGCTGAATGGCAGTAAGCTGAAGCCCTGCAAGAGGGAACAAGACCCCATGGAAGGGCTGGGAGAGCCGGCCCAGTCCTGCTCCTTCTCCTCTCCCAGAGGCCCTCCCTCCTCCTCGGCCCAGTTTTTGTCAATGATCAGCTCTTTCCTTAATGAGTGTAATTCCCCTAATTATAGGCTGTAATTAGCCCTGATCCCAGAGATGGGAATGGGAGAAGCATGTGCTCACACGAGCGTCTCATGGGCTAAGGAAAGAGGATGCCAGAAAAGGGGGTGAGGGACCCCGCACCCATGCTCCATGTGGAAGTTGTCCAAGGTGATTTTGGAGATCATTAGGATGGACCCCAACAAGGCCTCAGGCAGGAACAAATTCCAACTCCCCTCCTCCAGCCTCAACAGGGAAGGGAGGCTTACCCCTCCTCCATCCGGAGCATTCCTGGCACTGGACTTGGCTCCAAAAACAGACTCTGCCAGTAAGAAAATAACTCAACAGATTGCGGTGGTTCAGGCTCCCCGGGAATGGTTGTCATGGCAATAGGAGGAAACTCATCCCAGAAAGAGGCACTTTACCAATTATGGAGTCTGGGGGACTTTATCCTCTGCCCCAGCCTCCTGCTCCTGCGTCATCCTGGCCCAGTCTGGGAAATGGGGACCTCCCTTTCCAAGTTGTGACTGAACTCAAGGAGAAGATAGAAACAGAGGTGCTGCCCCTGACATGTGGCTCATGGTCCGGACAGCTATCATTTAGCTCCTCAGCTCTGTCTACTCTGGACATAGCACCCGCATCCCATCCTGCCATGGAATCCCTCCAGGTCTCTATGAGTGCCCTAAACAAACTCCCAAGGCGGCCTCAGCTACAATTCTCAGCCTTCTTTAACCTCTGGTTCCAGTTTTCCTCTTTACCTGGAGAAGCAGGAGTTAGGCAGAATAGAAAGCAGGTGCCTGCTAGAGCCAAGAGCTCAAATCCCACTCCACACTTATTTGCAGTGTAATTAAGGGACAGAGGCTCTATGAACCTCAGTTTTTCTTACCTGAAAGAGGGTGAATCATCTGTATCTTGTCCTCCTACCTCCCAAGCATATTGTCAAGCATGAAGAGTGTGAAAACACTTTAGGATAGCTGGAAAGTGCTGTGCATGTGAGATGCTATTATTACTCGTTACAAACAGTAACATCAGGCTGGGGTGTTGGGCATTTGTGCCAGGCATTGCAGGCCTGTCTTCTAATGTAACCTTCACAGTACGGGATGCGATACTGTAAATGGATGTAAACCAAGGCACAGAGAAGGGAGGCAACTTCCCCAAGGTGGTACAGCAAGTGAAGGAGCCAATCTTCAAATCCAGGCAGTCTGACTCCAAAGTCTGTGGTCTAAGCATTGTCTTGTACTGCCTGCCAGTCAAAACTGGTCTCTCCGGGCTGGGGATTTAGCTCAGCGGCATAAGCACCTGCCTTGCAAGCAGGCAGTCATGAGTTCGATCCTGGTCTCTTTTTTTTTTTTTTTTTTTTGTCTTTTTCATTTTTATCGGTACCGGGGATCGAACTCACGACCGCCTGCTTGCAAGGCAGGTGCTTATGCCGCTGAGCTAAATCACCAGCCCCGATCCTGGTCTCTTCATGGCCATTCTCTTAAGAGACAGAAGAGTAGGAACTATCCTGCTTTCACAGGCATACTAAGAACAGGACCGGTGGAATATGCCCATGATCACAGTATTTTGAGAGGCTGAGGTAAGAGGATCACAAATTCAAGCCCAGCCTGGGCAACTTAGGAACTTAATGACTGTCTCAAAATTTTAAAAAAGTGGGGAGAGGATGTACTTCATCCGTGAAGGCCTTGGACTCCATCCTCTGTACCTCTAAACAAGACAGGAGTTTATTCTTCCCTGCCTTTCAGGCCAGTTTTTAGCTGCCCTCTGCATAGCTTGGTCCCAGCTGGGATTTGCCAGGTTGTTTTGTAGGATTTGCTGTCACCATGTGGTCGTGTTTGGTATGACAAGTTCAGGAACTACCAGGTTTCCTAGGGCAACTGGTCCCACCCCCAGCTTTTGAGAAGGGCTGGCTCAGCCCCACCACCTCACTCCCATCCTGTCTTCTGAAGAAATCCTGCACCGTCACCATCAAGCTTTTTAACATTTCCCAGGGAATACTGGGGAAACGTTTGCTCTCTGACCAGTATTTCCTGCTGCCCTTCCTATTTGTCTCCTACAGAAAAATAATATCACACTTTACATCAGTGTAGGCTTTTCACCGTTTCAGATGCTTTCACATCTACCAGTCATTCCATAAATACTTTTTGAAGATATAGTTTCAGCTGCATGCCAGGGAAACCAAGCTGGATAAAATACTACTGCCTTTAGTTTCAGATTAACTCTATATGAAGGCTAGCATTTTGAACCTCATTTAACAAATGAAGAAAAGATACAAAGAGGTTAATAACCTGCCTGAAGTATCACAGAGCTTGGGCCGGATGCCAGGCCTTCCAACTTTTTGTTCTGAGTTTGTTCCACTAACCAGGTCAACCTGCTGGAAATACCCTTGGTGCCTTCTAAGGAACAGATTTGGAGGTAACCTTCGGGAACCCCTAATGCTTCTTCCTCTTGTCCCAAGTGATGTCTCCCAGGCCAGCTGAGGCAGACTGGCACAGGCCTTCACACACACACCCATAATGGCTCAAATTCCCTACACACACACACACACACACACACACACACACACTCACTCACTTTCTCTTTACAGCTTACCTCCTGAGCTGCCACTTTCCCAGAAGACCAGCTTATGGAGATGTGACTGTCACCAGCCTCCACCCAGGAGGCAGCGCCCACTTCCACTGTGCCACTGGCTACCAGCTGAAAGGTGCCAGGCTCATTACCTGTCTCAACGCCACTCAGCCCTTCTGGGATTCCCAAGAGCCTGTCTGTATTGGTGAGTGACACCAGGGAAGAGGACTCAGTGCTGAGCCGAGGAGCTAGGTAGTTCATCCCTGTTCTCCAATGCTATCTAGCACTTTTATTTGGTCTCCACAAAGAATCAGAATATGGTCACAGATCTAAGTGGCACTCATTCAACCTGAACTCACTGACCACCTGCTATATGAAGGTGTCACAGGAATACAAAATTGAATTCAGTAGGGAATCTGCCTTCAAAGAGCCCACAGTTCCAGGAAAGAGGGGGCACTTAAGTCACCAGTTTTCACAGTAGGAAGTAAAAGATACCAAAGAAGAGACATAAAATGACCTCGGAAGGGAGGAAGCAATCATTCTTAGCTTGGTAGTAAGAAGGCTTCCTAGGAGAGATGACACCAAAGTTTTGACATTTCAGTGGAGAGCTGTGACTTAGGGGCAGGACAGAGAGGGTGCTTAGAGTGCAGAGGGAGGGTCTGACTCTCAGGCCAAGATACTCAATGAGGAGCTGAAGTTTTTGAGAGGAAGGGGGAGGAACTCAGAACTAGCCTTCAGGAGAGCCAGTGGAGTGGCAGTCAGGCTGGGAGGCCGCCAGGATAGAGGGCTTGAATTTAGACAATGACTTTGAGCGTGAAAAAAAGGGAAGGAGTTTCAGAGGCACTAATGAGGGAACAGGGGGGCGTCCCCAGGTTCCAGTCCTAAATGATGAGATCTGAGATTACCAATAGAAGGGGGCTTGCCGGGAAAACAAAGATAGGGTTTGGTCCATGGTATGACAGGCAAGTTGGGTGTGGTGGGGATCCAGGCCAGGGAATGTAGTTCAAACCCGAGGGACAAGACAAGGATGGTTTCCAGAAATGTTAGTCTGGAGAAGCAGGGTGGATTCTTGGAACAGCATAGATGAGGGTGTGTAGGCACAAAACATGATCCAGTGAGGACATAGCAATGAGGATGGTATACAGAGCAAAAAGACTGAAACTGAGCCAAGAGAGCAGCATTCATGAAGAGTTTAAATGCCACTTTGAGTTTGGATACTATCCCAAGGACAATCGGGAGCCACTGTGTGGATTTTAAGCCAAGATATGGTCAAATTTGAAGGGCAGTTCCATGCAGAAACCAAACCGAAAAATGGTTCTGACCTCTGCAGAGATTAGAGACTTACCCTAGCCACAGCGGTACTAATAGGTTACCATATTCTGCTGTCTGGAGTATTTGGAGGCAAAGGTACTATGGATTGCCAGTAGTACACTGGTCTTGAAAGCAGAAGAGGTGGGAGCTTTTACCAGAGGAAAGCACTACTTGGAATCAGCCACTTCCTGCCTAAGACCCTTCTCTGGCCCCACTTAACTGGCAGGAGCTTGTGGCCAAGTAATACAGTAATCCTCACTGCTAGATCTAGCAAGCTTCTCAGTCTCTTCTTGACAAGAGAGGACAGTCCCACACCAAATGAGTCAATCTGACAAGGCCCTAAAGGTTCAGTTCAGGAATGACAGAGTAGTGGTATCTGGATGGTATTTCAGCAAGTGTCAGAGGCCATCTGTGGCTAACAGTTCTGCCAAGAGTGTGGGGCGGATGGCAGGCACAGCAAAGTATTTGTCATCCCTGACTTAGCCCTGCCCCTCTTCTAAAATTCAATCCCTTGTTTTACTTATCTAACACTGAACACCACCTCCGGGCCTGAATTGCAAAGACCTAGTCTGTGCCGAAGGGGATTGTACTTCAGGGACAGACTCGAATAAATGCCAGTGTTTGTTTGTTTGTTTATTTGTTTTGCAGACTTAGGGATCAGACCCAGGGCTTCACATATACTAGACAAGCCAAATAAATTGGAAAATGGCATGAGGCAAAGTTAGATATACCCAAGAAGGTTGGAACCTGAAGGAAGGACGTTAATAATAAAATATCACTGGGGGCAGTAAAGGAAGAGGGGGGGGGTCACCTTTGCAAGGGAAAGTACTATACCCCAGGCCATACAGCTAGGCAGTGCAAAGCCTAATAGGAGTAAAGAAAGCTGCTTATGGGGGCTGAGGATTTAGCTCAGCAGCATAAGCACCTGCCTTGCAAGCACAACGGTCATGAGTTTGATCCTGGGTACCGGTTTTTGTTTTTTGTTTTTAAAAAGAAAGCTGCAAATAAAGTCTCAGGTGTGTGAACAGTTAGGAGGTACAGTGGTGGGGTCCCTCCTGCTTTAAGCTACAGGATCATAGAGCTAAAAGATTGACCTTCAGCACCATGACAGCGAAATTGGCAGGGAAGCAAAAGTCCCTGCTGCCCCACACAGAGGGTACAAGGCTGAGATGGGAGGAAGGCTTGTGAGGAGCCTAGGATGCAGTCAGGGCCCTGCCTCAGTGCCTTTCCATCTCACAGCTGCCTGCGGCGGAGTGATCCGCAATGCCACCACTGGCCGTATTGTCTCTCCGGGTTACCCGGGCAACTACAGCAACAACCTCACCTGCCACTGGCTGCTTGAGGCTCCCGAGAGCCAGAGGCTGCACTTGCACTTTGAGAAAGTCTCTCTGGCAGAGGATGATGACAGGTGAGGCTGTCCTGAGGGGATGGAGTGCCTGGCCTGGACTGGAAATACCCTGCTGCAGGAATGCTCCCCAAACCTGGGACCATACCCTCCTGGATCAGCAGGCAGCCACATAGCTACCATTCTCCTGGCCCAGGCTTATCATCCGCAATGGGGACAATGTGGAAGCCCCGCCTGTGTACGACTCCTACGAGGTGGAATACTTGCCTATCGAGGGCCTGCTCAGCTCTGGCAGACACTTCTTTGTGGAACTCAGTACAGATAGCAGCGGGGCAGCTGCTGGCATGGCCCTGCGCTACGAGGGTAAGCCTTTGGGGCCCTGATGGGGAGCAGGGAGCAAGAGAGCAGGTCTGTCTCCTACACCTTCCTCCTCTCTGCCTTCATTCCATCAGTCCTTCCAAGTCAGCCTCTGTTCCCTGCACCTCCACCCAGGTCTAAGACTGCTACCCCATCTTTGCAGGAGAACCTTGCCTAGACTCAGGCCTTCTGGTCCAAGAGAATTTATTCTCCAGGTTTTCAAAGCAAAAAGAGGCTCCAATACTTGAGGAGGAACTGTATTAAGGGATATTCTAGACTCATGCATGCATATATTCATTAATACACCCCCCAAAAAAAGAATTTATTGAGGCCCTTCATACTAAGCATAAAACTAGACGATGGGAATACAAGAGTGATTGAGATGATTTCCTGAGCTGTAATAGGGATGGATGCACTGGGCTGTTTTCCCCCACCCTGGGCTCCAAGCCTTTGACATATGTTTGTACTCAGGAAGAGAAAGGCCCTGGAGAGGGGGAAGTAGGAGGCCTGCACTCTGTGTTTACCCTAGTCAAGGCTGAGCCTGGCTGGGCCCTGTGGTTTACAGCCTTCCAGCAAGGGCACTGCTATGAGCCCTTTGTCAAATACGGCAACTTCAGCAGCAGTGCACCCTCATACCCTGTGGGTACCACTGTGGAGTTCAGCTGTGACCCTGGCTACACCCTGGAACAGGGGTCCATCATCATTGAATGTGTTGACCCCCATGACCCACAGTGGAATGAGACAGAGCCGGCCTGCCGAGGTCAGTGGACACCAGTGGATAAGCTTGCTGGGGAAGGAAGTGGGGTGGGCACCAGCAAGTCAGCTGTAGAGCCTGGGACCAGGGAGGTCCTGTGACATTTGTGATTCAGCCTTCACCTTGAGGAGGAGGTGGGGGTTCCCAGCAAGGGATGGCAATGGGGAATGGGGAATGTGGCACTGGAGGGAACAGAGGACACATGCCTCCCAGCCTCCCCTGCCTTGCAGCTGTGTGCAGTGGGGAGATCACAGATTCAGCGGGTGTGGTGCTCTCTCCCAACTGGCCAGAGCCCTATGGCCGAGGGCAGGACTGCATCTGGGGTGTGCATGTGGAAGAGGACAAGCGCATCATGCTGGATGTCCGAGTGTGAGTGCCTGCTGGGTCAGGCCAAGCCAACTCTTGAGGTCTGGTCATCTCTTGTGGGGCCCATGCTTGGGCCTGCTCTGCCCTGATGGTCCTCCTCTACAGGCTGCGCATAGGCCCTGGTGATGTGCTTACCTTCTATGATGGGGACGACCTGACAGCCCGGGTCCTTGGCCAGTACTCTGGGCCACGTGGCCACTTCAAGCTCTTTACCTCCATGGCTGATGTCACCATCCAGTTCCAGTCGGATCCCGGGACTTCAGTGCTGGGCTACCAGCAAGGATTTGTCATCCACTTCTTTGGTGAGCTTCTGCCTGCCTCACTCAGAATGCAGGCCCCAATCCATGGCAAGTCAAAGAGGCCAGGGCAGTGAGGCGCTGGAGGGCTTTTTCTTGGAAGGAAATGCTGAAAAGGCTCTAGGTGTCACCAGAGAAAAGAAGCCTTCTTTTGCAGCATGAGATTTGGAGAAGCCGCAGCAGAGCTTCCTAATGAAAATAGGGAACTAAGAAAATGTTTTGTTTTTATCTGACACTCTTTAGTAGAAATGACCGTTTCCCTCACCCTATCTGGTCCCACCTCTCAGGCCTAAGGAACTTACTGAGGTGCTTTTGGAAGTAAGGCCAAAGCCCAGATGCTAACCTTGGCATCTAGGTGACAGAGATACTAGGATAGTCGAGGAGAGATCTTTGACTTTGAAGGAATGAATCTCTGAGCCCACTCAGGCAAGTCTGAGCCCAGAAAAATCTGGTGCCCTCCGGGTGAAGGGGTTATCATAGTCACTGTGGAATTAGCCCAGAGATTGCATCTTGCCACCTCTGTGCCCACAGAGGTGCCCCGCAACGACACATGTCCAGAGCTGCCCGAGATCCCCAATGGCTGGAAGAACCCATCGCAGCCTGAGCTGGTACACGGCACT